TTTAGATTTACTTCAACTTGAAATAATGCGACAAATATTTTGCTAGTGATTTTTTTTAATATTACTCTTGCTTTGTTAAAGAAAAGCACATTTATTTTAGAAACAAGTATAAATAAATCATAAGTAAAATTTGTAAATTAAAACATTTTTGATAGTAGTCATATATGCTTTAATCGATAATAAACACGAGTTTTCTTTTAGGAAGCAGTCGACGATTTATTAATTGACGTAAGAAATTTACTTTAAATCAAATAAATCAAACAATGTTAATTGGCACAGTTTTGCGATTTGAAGGAGAACTGATCAAAATACCGTCAGTTGTTCAATGGCGTGTATTTAAAATTGATATGTTAAATACTCTGCAATTTTTAATGATATGATATATGATATATTAAATAAAAATCAAGAAATATTTTGCGCGGCTTTTCGATTTGCTCCAACTTTTCAATTTATCGATAGAACAATAGTTCTGTGGTCTTTATCTTTGTTTATTAGATCTTTTGCGTTTGCCGCACGAGTAATGGAAAACTATGGTATGCATATATACAGATACTATCACACTTGACCCGAACGATAAACGATAACCTAACGCGTGAAACGATACGATTCACACGGTAACACTTTGTCACACAATAAACGATGCTCGAATTTCTGTTTTTTTTTATTTACGTTCCGTGTGTCGTTACTTTGCGTTAGAAACACATTTTTACGTGGAATATTACCGCGTGTCGCAACACGAAGTAATACTGCATTAAAACCTCTATAGAAAACTTAAAATAATTTCAAATGCGCATTTATAATGAAAAATTTGACTTATATCAATATAACAATGTACGAAACATATTGAAGAAACGACTTGTACAAGGCCTGCGTGATTCCGATTCTAATTTGTTAAAATCGTCGGCGGAGACTTGCACAATGTATCAATAATACCGATAGTCGCGCGAGATGGAAATATCGTGATTGTAACGGGCGTGTGCGCGATACGCGGAGTTATGCCATATTACAGATCATTATGCAATGCGTTGACGCAATTCAGATCCGATCGCCGGCACGAACCGATCCATGGGAAATCTTGAATTACACGTTTTATATATCGGTCGTTCGCGCCGCCGCTGCGATTGCTATTGAAAGGGCCGTCGTGACTGCGATTACGTTAATTTCTTCGCTTATGATAATAGCACAGGGTGGCCTTGTGCTCGTAAATTTTCGTTTCATAACTGGAGGAATTATATATTGACACGGTTGGTGAGTTAACGCGGGATTTATATTTCGTTGTGCCGCGCTATGTCTAAATATGTGAATAGAGTGCTTTATTATAATCGAAAGCGTGAATAAGGAAAATATATTATATATAATATCTAAACTAGCAATCTTTTGAAAAAGGCGAAGAATTTCACAACGCAGTGCTTCAGATATTAACACTATCTCAAACAATTTAAAATTAATTTCAATTTTCGGAAAGTAGTCTTAAATCTGCTTGATTAATTATGCCAATATAATCAATACGTTATCGAATATGTTGCTTAATCTTTTAGAAGTGAATTTCTTGCACAAGAGTTCCTGTTCTTTGTGATATTCTATTCATTTGATGCTCCGAAAGCTTGCCGTATTCGGAAAGTGTAATTTCAGTGCGAGCGAGGGTGGCGAAAGTTTATGATACCCCATGGGGTGCGATAGGGCGGTGTGACTCAGCGGCTATGGGGATGACGTAAGAAAATGAGAGCTTCACAGTCTCCGGGAAAGAGCGGCAAGAAGCCTAAGCGTGCATTTTTAAATCTCCTATTTTTAGTTTTCTATTTTGTGTTCGTATCGAACGCGCCCGTAAAACAGCCTGATGCTATCTGCACCAAATGTCATATTAATTGTTTTTAATTTGACACAGACAAACGTTTACGAAATCATTTATCTTATAAGTATAGAAGCCTCAAGAAAAATTGTATAACAATTGTATTCACAGTGTCGGTAATCGAAATTACGAAAAATAATGAAGTTTGCAGTAAAGTTAATTAAAAAGATATTTGGCTGATTTTAGGAAACTCGGCGAGACGCCTGTCTCAAAGCATTCGTTGATGCGAAATCTCGTTAGTAAGCAAGTGCGCAAATTGCGGACGAATTACGCGCGAAAGAGCCGAGGTGCAACGTGCACGACTATGAATTCGCTCTCGCAATCCACGACGCGAAATTACAGAGGCGGGGGTGATTGCACGGCACTTTTCCACCTACAAGCGGGCAAAAGTGCGGTCCGTTATGGATTCTATGACGGGACGTCTGTCGTGACTGTCGTGCGCTTACGCAACTCGGACTCCGATTTAAGCCACCGTGCCGGAATGTCCATTACAATACTCCACACGTCAGCCTCCATTCATGCGCCTCTCCCTCCTCTCCCTCTCTGGACTTGTCCCGTCATCCGCAGACTACCTCGCTTTGTTCGGCGTTTGTTCGCGTTGATTTCCGACGATTGCCGTCGCGTTCGTCAAAAGTCGCCTCTTTAATCATTATCATCGTGATAAATCACAATTGTGGTAATTAATTATGAAAGTTCCTAGTATAAAATACATCAAAAAATTTTTCATTTGTTTGGTGATTTGATATAAAATGTTATGATAATTAAAGAATGAGAAGAATGATAAATGTGTAATATAAAGATTTTTGTTATGATGATTGATATAAAAAAGTAAAGTTTTGTTTTCATTTTTCAATACAATTTAAAACGAATGTTAATATAATAAATATTTTGACGTAATTTTGAATTAAAATTAACAATTATTTTATTTAATCAGTTGTATCACACGTTCCGTTGGTAAAACCGCAATTGTATGTCGTCTTATGTACTACCGACTCCATCTGTCGCTTACAAGTAGAAATTCCAAATAATACACTCTGATAAATAAGTGTACGTTATTATATTTATAATAAAGAGCAATAATAATTGACAATTATGTTGAAATAGTTTTTACATTAGCATTAATTTTGATTTAGATTAACGATTAACTAAAGAAGATACGCAAAATCAGAACAATTTAAATAAATTTTCAATAATTTAAATGAGAAAAATAGATGGTCAGTTGTTTTTGTTACATATTTTTATAGGAAAAGTGAGATTCAGCGTGAAATTATTCGTTTCAAACTATTAATTAAATTTGTCGAAAGGTTTGTTCTAATTTTTTTCGGAATAATTTTTGCTATTTTTGTATACATTTTTTTTTTTTTTTATTAAAGCTATTTTTTTTGTTAACGTCCGAATTGCGTCGTCCGCGTGAGCCATTCACTTTCATTTTCTGGGGTGGTTGCACCCCGCAATATCAAGAACCGCCGGCTGGTGAGGGGTTGAAAGCCCTAACAGTGCGCAGCCGCGCTGACCGCTGTCCACTTCTCTTCGTTAGAATTCCCCGGAATTATTCTTCGTCTGCCGGCTTATAGCTGCTATAGCAGCCACAAGTATTACGAATACTACTCTCTGCCTTCGTAAAGAGTATAAGGTGTTGTCGCGCGTGCCGCAATCAAGAAAGTAGGGATTGCTTGCCTTCAGTATTTCGCGATCAACCGGCAAAATAAGGGGCTCCAGGGTGGCGAACGGCGAACCGAGTGAGTATCGTTCTTGTGACGAATCGCCAGCGCGTTTTTCCAAAACAAATTCTCCAAAAGTAAGATAATTGCACTCTTTTTTCGCCCATTAATCTCTCAAATCGTCCCTCACCTCGATAGATTGTTGCGCGTCGCGAAAAACGAAGCAAACATGGTCGCCGCGAAACGCAACACTTTTGCGTATTGTTTTTCTATTGCAATGCGGGAACTTTGTGATTAACAACGTGGGGGGGGACATCTCTCTCTCTCTCTCTCTCTCATGGAATAGGATAGGATCTCGTAAATAATTGATGACGAAGGAGGTAATTCGATCGGCCGAGCTTCACTTTGAGTCTTTTGTTGGACACATAATAGCGCGTCACATAGTGGACACATATATTATTAATCGAACGGGCAACTTGCGTGGGATTTCGCGGTTGCAAGCTTTGCGTCGGCTATTGCGACGGGAGAAGAATCGGTAAATAGTCCGGCAAGTCGGCTCCTCGGCGAACCGAAGTTTTCGCGAGTCGATAGTCGTATAGCCGCCCCCCCGTTTATGGGGATAGATACAATCTGCACATTTCTGCTGGAAGTAGGACAAAGTGTCGCGCAATTTGTCTTTTACGTTCAACTCGTCTCTTCAGCCTTGCTTCTATACCCCTTGATTTTATAACTCTTTACAATTGCGTCGAACACTGGCTTTTATTACAAGAAACAATTTACGACGTGAATTGCTTTGCATGAATTGTCGCGAATAAAAATTCTTGTAACTTAAAAAAATTGAACAAGTAGTTTCTTCGACTGGAAAGACCACGAAAGAATAATACAGTTTATTCCTATAATCGTGCTGTATAAATCAATAAATATAGCACGCTTGCTTTTCTTTTATAACGAAGATAGGAAAGTTTTTTTATCAAATTCGGGAAAAATTATTATTTTTAATTTTTCTATTAACCATACGTGGCGTTGTGACGTCATCCTTCGCGAGGATTGACACATCGGCGATTCCGATGACAAGTCATTCTTCGATAATGTATCATTTTTTAAAGATAAATTTTTTCAGCAGTTTCAACGAAAATATGAAACTTTTATCAAATTCGGGAAAAATTAAAAATAATAATTTTTCCCGTACTTGATAAAAAATTTGTTAATTTATGAAGAATGACGCCATGTGCTTATGATTAATAAAAAAATCCGCGACCTCGTCGCTCGCTATATACAATCTGTCGTTCGAGTGCAACAGTTGGAGTCAAGGCGAAGAGTTAAAAGTGTACGGGACCCTCGTTGCGTCTCGAATCGATAGTCGCGATTACCGGAGCAAAGGTACACGTAAATACGGCCAAGAGTCACCCCCTCCCGTATTCGGCCGCGGATCGGCGGCGACGTTCAGCGTGTCGCGCAACCTTGTGCACCCTTGATCGCTCGCGACCACCTTCTTTTTCTTTTCTCGACGAAGGCGAGTCTCGCTTCTTTGCGGGTAGTCGTGCGATTTATTATTTAACGAGAATAATCGATGGCTTATGGATACGTGCACCAACGTCGTACATCCCCCGCGACAGTCGTCATTTTCGCGATGGTGCCGTGCCGCGTGGCAGGAGTAGCCGCCGTAACCGCCGCTCATCGTTTGCCGCCGCGAATCGGCGGTTCGTGAAGTCATTTTTACGCGCGAAAAAAGAAAGAAACAAGAAATCGGTCTCGGAAAACATGCTGGCGAGATTTAGGAACAGCTTTCGCTGCCGCGTGCCTAAGTGTCCGACAATTCGTTTTCCAGGGATGGAGAAGCCCGAGTCCTCCGCGGAGGGTGAGAGCGCCGGTGAGCTCGAGGATCGGGATCCCAATAGCCTGAATCAGCATCTTCAGGTAACGCAGTCGTAGAGCGTGCTGCAATCGATGTGCTGCGCTTGTCGCGACGTTTTCGATCAATACATCAATGTTTCCTCAGCTAAAATATTTAAAATATCACTAACAGATCTTTTTAATTGAAATGGCACGCTGTTCCCACGCTTCCGTTCTCCAGTTCTCGCACAATAATTCCCTTTTATTTTTCTAAAAAGCACATATCAATCTTATACACATTCAAATTGCGTTGTGATTGCACATACAAAGTTGCAATTCGAGCAGCAAAGATATAGCTAAATTTTTATCATATGTCGTCGAACCTTGATTTTCTTCTTAATCTTTATTACATAATTTAATTATCTTGATTAAAGAGGCGATTGATGATGATTTGATTTTTTTCGCTGCACACAGAATCTTTAAATTTTTCGAAATTATTACCTATATTAAGAAACTATTCTTTTCTAATTATTTTTGATTTTTAAATTGCCGGGTATGTTAACGGCATGAAAGTGTTGAAAGCCGTAACCTACATTTCCTTGAAAATAATCGAGAATCGATAATCAGCAACGTAGATTAATGGGACTTTAGACTGATTTGCGTGTATTACTCGGACTTTTATTCCGACCATAAAATGATTGCACGTACATTCGTTCGCATTCGTTTGCTTTGTTTGCACGCTGGGTTAATTTAACGACATGATTGATGGGCATCGATTATGCGAGCGTCCGTATAACGCAGGTGATGTGGGATGACGTGATCGGCGAGCCGGAAGGCATCCGCAGTCCCGAATGCGCCTGGCGGCTCAGCGGCCACTGCTTTCGGCTCTCCCGTGGATGCTGCTACATCCTTCTCTCGGTTCTCGTAGCGCCGCTGCTCGCCCTTTGTTTGGGCTTCACGTTCGCCTGTCTCGCGTTTCAGGTGAGTTGATAACTCATCCGTTCCTTCTCTGGTCGCGTGCGTCCAGTCACTCCGATTGTCCGCAATCGATTTTAGGTATCTCGCACATATAGTCCTCTAATTACAGCAATAGAATACTTTATGAGCTTCGTTCGTGACAAAATTAAACCGAGAGAGATCGCAAAATTTAATATCAAGTTTTAACATAAATATTTCTTTTATATTGAATTGAAAATATTCACGAAATTGTTCCATTCTTTTCTAAAATATTAAATAATTAAAGAAAAAATTTCTTTTTCTTTTTTTGAGTTATTAAAAATTCGAAATGACACAAAACAATTGGCGTTTGTTGCATCTTTGAATATTTCGACACTTAAAATTCTTATTATTAAATCTGCATCAGCGATCACACGCTTAGGCTCTCAGGCATCACTCCTCTCGTTAAATATTCGCTATATTCTCCATGTCTTGATTGTTCCTTGCAGCATATATGGTGCGTCGCGCCATGTCTGCGCGTATGGAAGATTACGTGCGCGGCGACGCGAAATTTCTTGGCGGCGTTGACGCAGGCGGTCATCCGGCCGATCATGGAGGCGATGAGCTACCTTTGCCACAATATCCGCGTATTCAATCAAAAGCTGCCAGAAGGTCCTTACCAGAAAGACGACCTACTGGTTGTGTAGTCTGCGAGTCTCGCGGCAGATCGAATCCAATTCGCGTACACAATCGATCGATAGCGCGACTCTTTCCTACGTTCGCTATTGAAGTTTCTAAACACGAATGCATCGCGACACGTGCAATATTAGTAGTATTATAGTCATCTAGGTGGATAGAATTATAGCTGCGAGAAGAGATATCTAATTATAGAGAGTGATACTTGCGAGGCTATTTATATATAGAATTTTAATATAAATATTTGAAGCAAATTATTATATATACGATATATTACATGATTTTATATATATATAAAATATAATAAAAAATTTTACATGATTTTATATATATATAAAATATTACATGCGATTAATGGCCTAGATATACAAAGAAGATGATCCTAGATATAATTGCACACAATCAGGGAGGTATATTTTTGTAACTTAAGTGAACTCGTGCGACAATAGCGTCAAGGAATTCCGTTGAACCATCCGCAATATTGTACACAACGAGCTGCTTAAGTATAGTAGTAAGTGTAAAGGTCTTTCTCGCGCGCTGGCCTTGCAGGAGTATAATAATTTTAACTCTTGCGCATGTCTCCGTGTAGTTGCAGATCGAGAGTTAAGAAACTCGTGAAGCATGCAAGTGTTGGGGCATGTCAATATTTACGCCACTCGACTCTTTTGTTGTGGTTTATAAAGCCGGAAGTATAAGATCGATAATAATCCAGGCAGTAATTACTAAAACGAGCGGTTACAAAATCCATCTGAAAAAATTAATTAAAAATTCTGATTTAATTAATAATATAAATGTTAGCAATAATAATAATTATTAACATTAACAAACATATTTATATATGAATATAAAAATTTATATTTATTATCATATCATTGGAAAACTTTAGACTGAAATAAGAATCCGTCCACTTAACTGCTGCATAATTGTATAATTAATATTAATTAAAATATTAATCTATCTCGAAGCGATAAAACACAGGGCTGTCGTATTTTCAATATTCTATATTTATAATAAAAAATTCATTATTATTACATTCTAACACCATTCTTCATGCATTGTATAATCGCGATCTTCGTAAGTAGCGATTTATGGAAAGTTTCCGCAATATCGAATTGTACATACAAATGTCCTGCAAGTGAACTTTCGCAAATAAAACGTAGAATTTTCACGAAAATATTTTCATGATATTTGGAAGTTTAAAATTATGATCTCAACCTGAGAATTATTTAAGCTGAAGGGATTTGCTGATATCAATTTTTCTAAAAAATTATATTATATTATACCTAATAAAAATATATGCTTTGAGATATCAACAGCCGTTCAAACTTACCACCGCGTTTCTTACCAAGCCAATCAGAGATTTAGCCAATCGTTACGAGAGACGTCACGATACTTTCGGCAACAGCTGACAAGCTGTCGACTATCAAGTAGTTAAAGAGACGTTCAGTAACGATACTCAATGATTCTTTGGCGAGAAACATTGCTTACGAAATATTTGTTGAATTATATTTGCTCGGTGTAAATACGCCTTTAGGCACAGCTGATAAAGAGCTGTTTCGAGATCAACAAGTCAGTGTTTTATCAGCCGTTGCGTAAAATGGCAAACCACGTGAGAAGCTTGTTTTTACAAGGTGGTCGTTTGTGTCGCATCAACACCACGAGGCGTATCCTTTGAAAATTAATTATTAATGTTATTAAATTATGTGATCGAATCCTAATTCGTTGTTGCCCTTAAGAAATCTTGATTAGAAATCTCCGTCTCCGCGTCTCTTCAAACAAAACGTAAGTCATACAGTCTGTTTTAGATTATATTTTTAAATGTGTGAAAATATCAGATAAAGAAAGAAGTAGATTGCATCTAGATCGCGAGATAATCTTAAGCAGTGATCTAAACGTTGTTACAAAATGCAGATGACAGCACAATGCAGGCACGTTATCTCAGCCGGTCAGTTCGCTCGGTCGACATTTTGCTGTCTCATCCTTACTGATAATTGATAAAATAATTTTTACATAACCTAACCTAACTTTCAATTATAAGACGTATTATCATTTTACGATGACAATATTTTATTTTATTAGATTTCGTTCAATCAGACTTTTTTTGAGAATTAAGTAAATTATATTAAATTGAATAACTTTTTTAAATTAATTTATTTCTGATCAATTTTTTTTATTAAAATTTATCTAAATCGTGGATCAGCCGTTTTCAAATGGGAGGATCCGTTCGATTTGGAGTCGCAGCTGACGCAGGACGAGATCCTGATGAGGGATCAATTCCGTACGTACTGCCAAGAGCGTCTTTTGCCGCGCGTGATCGAGGCGAATCGGCAAGAACATTTCGATCGGAGCATCGTTAGGGAAATGGGTCAACTCGGTGTACTAGGCTGCACGATGAAGGGTTACGGTGGCGCCGGGGCGTCCTGGGTGGCTTACGGGCTTCTCGCCAAAGAGATCGAGAGCGTCGACAGCGGATATCGATCCGCGTTATCGGTGCAGACCTCTCTCGCATGCGGCGCAATTGACTTGCACGGCACTAACGCTCAGAAGGAGCGATTCCTTCCTAAAATGAGTACGTATGAGCGACTTTTGTGGTGGGATTATATTCTCTAGATTTTAATTTTCGAGCTGAGAGTTGCTTAGAATTCAGAATTTTAGGCGGAGATGTAATTGTGAGTTACTTTGCTTATTTTGAGGAAGTAAGAAATGGGTATTAATTAATTTGATAATAAATTAAATGTTATAATTTTCTATTTTCGAATTAATTGTACATTGAAAATAGCGAAATTTAAATTCTCTGATAAAATTTACGGGTGATAGTTTTTAAAATACGTTTTAGTTTCCGGGGAAAAGATCGGTTGCTTCGGCTTAACGGAACCAAATCACGGCAGCGATATTGGATCTATGGAGACTAAAGCCACTTACGATTCCGACAGAAAAGTTTACAAACTGAGCGGCAGCAAAACATGGTCGGTTCTGTAGCATTCTTTTTTTCTCTCGCGATTGAACATAAAAGTCACGTAGCGTGAAATCTCGTTTAGGATTACGAATTCACCCATCGCCGATGTGTTGGTGATATGGGCGAAATGTGACGACGGTCAGATCCGCGGATTTATCGTCGAGAGGGAAGCCGCGGGCGATCGTTTATCCACTCCAAAGATCCAGGGAAAATTCTCCCTGAGGACAAGCGTCACCGGGATGATTCTGATGGACAATGTAATCGTGCCTGAGGAAAATTTGTTGAATGTTCAAGGACTTAAAGTAAGTTGAGCGCTTCTAGGAATTTAGGAACTTTTTCATTCCATTTATTATACACGTTTTGTTCATTAGTTATCAGCCATTTACGATTCTTGAACATTCATTATTGATTTCGAAAAAAATGTTTAAAAAAATCTGTGCCTGCAAAAGTTTAGAGAATAGTCGTACGCGTAATTTCGTAATCATACTATATACAGTAGGGATATCTAATAATGACTTGATTAAGGGACCGTTCAGTTGTTTAAACAACGCTCGATACGGCATCAGTTGGGGCGCGTTGGGCGCGGCAGAGACTTGCCTGAAGATCGCGCGATCGTACACCCTCGATCGGAAGCAGTTCCAAAGGCCGCTGGCGGCGAATCAACTCGTGCAGAAGAAACTGGCGGACATGATGTCCGAGATCGCGCTCGGTCTTCAGTCTTGCCTGCGAGTCGGTAGATTGAAGGACGAGAACAGGTAAAGTGCGCTTGAAACCGAGCAAAGAGCTTTAATTCAGGCGTTTATAAAGATAGGAATTGATTTCAACGTTTTTAGAAATAATATAAAATAATATTCTATTCAATATTGTAAGCTGTAAAACATCCTAGAATTATTACAATTTAAATTTATCATATTATTACAATGATATCGTGAGAAGTATAAGCACGCGAATTGAAGAAACACGAAGAAAATGAGCTTTGTGTGCCGTAGAATCGCGCCGGAAATGATTTCCATCTTAAAGAGAAACTCGACCGGCAAAGCGCTCGAGATTGCGCGTTCCGCGAGAGATATGCTGGGTGGAAATGGGATTTCGGATGAGTATCACGTAATCAGACACGTGATGAATCTGGAGACCGTGAATACTTATGAAGGTACGCGAGAATCATTCGAAAATACGATGGTCAATGATGATCACGTTATTTCGTCTTTTTTTTCTACAGGCACGAGCGACGTTCACGCGTTAATTCTCGGAAGGGCAATTACGGGTATTTCTGCATTCGCGGGATGAATGATTCTTTGAACAAAATTAAGAGAACTGTGCGTAATACGCATGCCATCAATCCTTATTTGTATAATTGATTGAAGTTTTGTAATTAATATTGAAAATATAAAAATTTTTTTATATCCCTAAAAGTTGAGGTTTTAATAAACGCATGTACGATTAAGCTTTTAATTTAAGTAAGAAATGACGGTAAGTGCTAACCTTCGACATTTTGCTTGCATGACCACGCGATTTTTCGTCTCTGCAATTCAGAGACCGATGCGTTTCGAGAATGTTTCCGCTGCAATAAGACCTTGTAGTCATTCGGTACATTTTATTGCTCGTTTATTCTCTATTTTACGTTTTAACAATTTCATGGTGTGTGTGCTCTTTCGCTACGCGCGCTGTCATTCGCTCTCGCTCTCACCTATCGACCAGCCCCGTTCACTCGTCCACGATAAATGTACACGTGTGTGGCTTTCGATGGAAAGCAAGTACGTAATAAATCAATTTGACGCGGACCAAAACTTTCCCCCCTCGAGACGTCTGTAGAGTTTTGCGCGACCCGACTTCACACTTGAAAAATGAATTTTCATGAAGATCGTGTTTCACGCATCGGAATCCGAATTGCAAAATTAAAACGCGTTTGCAAAGTGGTAATTATAATTGCTCTTTACATATGTATCGGAGTTGTAATTAGAAATCATGAAAATTCATCGTCGGCCGCGAACGTGCTAATCGGGAAATCCTAATGAATTAAGGATGCCTGCGAAGAGGCGTCATCGTCAATGATGAGACCGGCAGATCCCCGCTCACTAGTCCGAATTATAAAATCGATATATTTACAGCTCCTTCGTTTTCGTAATTTTCCGGGATTAATTAGCCGCGTAATTTACAATGCCGGCATTCCTCATTCACGCTCTCTTTCTCACTCGCTCATTCTCGTTCTCTCCCTGTCTAATAACTATAGATCTCCGTATAAATATAATATAATATAATATAATACATACATATATACATTTATATATATATGTATATATGTATATGTGTTCAGTGCCTTTAGATTAATTTGATATTAAATAAAAATATAAAAATCTATGTACGTCAGCTACACGGTGGTTTATTTATATGACAATCCGTCTAACAATTTCAGAGCGCGAATATTGTTGTGTGTGTATCAAAAATAAGCGCCGCGCGGCCAACACGCGGCAAGAAAATCAACCAAACATTTAGAATGAGATACGTTAAATAACAAAGCGGTTTATTCACTCGAAAAAAATGTTCTCATTTTTCTATCGATGACGTTTCAAGCTAATGTGCTCGAAGATAATCGCCGCCCTTAATCAAGATTCTTAAAGACATTAAATTAATTCATAGGGTGACTAAAGTAAATGTGACTAGAAGTGACTCTCACTCAGAAAAGGATGTAAATATTCATATATAAATCCTACATTTATTTTTAACTTAGATAATATTTAACTTATTGATTAATTTATTAGTTATTTCGAGATTTTTCAAGAGTCCGAACATACCAGCGTTGTCGAATGATGAACGACGACAAATAAAAGTCTCTCATTAGCTTGGCAGTATTTTTCATACCGTTCGCTGCTATTTCCAACCGCCAATTATCTGTTTTTCCAAAATTTCTCTTTACGCGAGTCAAATTCATATTAATTTTCATTAAAATCTCAAAGGATTAGCAATTTCCTAGTAAGAAATGTTATTCTTATACTAAATCACGACGATACGAATCGTCGTGGAAAAGGTGCGATTTCTATCAGCGGTACTTCGCCACGAAGTGTTCGTCCTCGCCCTCGATCGATCGATCGATCTTCGGCGGGTCGATTGCACACGGTCCGCAAGTAACAACAACAAGGGCGTCAACACAAGCGACTCGAGTAATCATAAATAAATTAAGTTTAATTGCTAAGTAATAAAACGTTAATTACATATTTCAATGATAATTAATTCAAGTTTTACAACACACGTCTCGTGCAAAAGTGTAAAGAACGTTTGTCTTTTTTTTTTTCGTGCTACACTCAATACCATTGTTGTCTTGTTTTTATTTCTTTTTGTTACGACTTAATGTTGTTTGCGTATGTATGTTCTGTGTGTATATGTATGTGTGCATGTGTGTATGTGTGTGTGTGTGTGAGTGTGTGTGTTTAATGGTTCTCGACTACAATAAGCTCTTGGTAAAACGTAGTAACATTGTAGTTTACAGTAGTTTACAAATCGCCTCCTCGCGGCCCCCGATCGCGATTGTGTCTATTACATAGTTACACATCTCGATTACATGCCGGGATCAAATTCACCGTTACTTTTTCTCTTTTTTTTCTTTCTTCTTCATTTGTGAAAATTATCAAAAGCATCTTGAGATGACGGACATCCGCGATGGATCGAGAGGGAAGTTTCGCGCGGGGGGATCTCGCGCGCCTCGCCAATCGCGAATTCGATCCCGTCATTTTTCACAGGAGTCATCGATCGTCGGCCCGTCGTCCGCGCGAAGAAAATTCAAATGGCACGCCGCAAGCAAAACCCCGTGCGTCGTCGCTCGGGCTCGTTATGCAACCACACTTTGTCGCCTACTAACGGATACACGTAATCGCAAATAAATTAATGACTCGCCCTCTCGCTTCGCTCCTGCCCCCTCCTCCCTTCGCCCCGTCGCAATCTCGCTCGACTTACAGTACGCATCGCGATGGACACCCCGATTCCCGCGCTCCTTCCCGCCGGCTCTTCGACACCTCGAATCCGGAGATTTTTCACTCCCAATTTATCTCACGGCGATTTGAACTCACAATTTTTACGAGAATAAATTTTGAATTTGTCGCATGTTTTTCGCCAATGATTGATTTCGTGAAACGAGTAATGCGACGAGCTGTCTTCCAGGCCGACTCGCCGGAATTAGGGTGTTAATCGCGATTCTTTGGTGTACACCGGATGATCCAAATCGTCCTCGAGACGGCGCTCTCGTGTCTCGACGCTCGTTTAGTCGTAAACTTGCGACAGGAGCCCACTCTGACATGTCGCTCCGCTCATTACAACTGTCATCCACGCTCCCTTACATTCTAGAGGGTGGACTAGTAATTTTGCGAAACTCCTCGCGTTACAATAAATATAATAATAATCATCGTAATAATCATAATGTATACCTGCTTTTGCATTTCGTATTTTACATTATTTCACCTCTGATTAACTAATCGATACCTTATTGTCGTACGAACTGCTCTCGTGTTTTCCTACCACGTTCTCATCTTCCTTTACTCTCATTTTCGTCTCGTTCGAGAAAACGCTATCTCGAGCCTTTTCGAAACAAACTACTCTCGCTCGATCTTGCCCTTGTCCCGCCGTTCGCTCACTTCGATCGTGATTTTATGAAAGATCGTGCCGAGGTAACAGTCACAATGTTATAGGTCGTGGCCTCTCTCCACTGACAAGTGGAGAGTGGAAAGTTAAGTGTCGAGTGAAAAATTAGAGTCGCGTTACCTCCCCCTCCCCGTTAGCTTCGAACGGACGAAAGCGAAAGACTTTACTCTTGCCCGGGAAAAAATTGCGTCGAGCCTCTTCACTCACGTATTTTTCTCTCTCTCCGTCACGTTCCGCCGATTTCTTTCTTTTCTTTTCCTTTCTTTTTTTACCCCTTGTCCGTGGAAAAACGAAGGTGAAAATTCTCTGCGAGTGGGGTGGAAACTAGATCGATATAGACACCTAATATTGTACGTCGTCGTCGTCGTCGATAGTTTCTAATCCACTGGATATGTGTCACGTAACGATCTAACTATCGAGACGAGCCCCTCTCGGCGCAATATATAAATAGATCATCGAATTTTGTATTCTTTCACACGCTGCTTTTCCCTCGCTCGCTCATTCACACGCTCGAATTTCAGACGCGTGACAGTCGTTATCGATCGATCGATCGATCGACTCGGAGATCGCTCGATAATCGCCCTCCGCGACGATCAACACCATCCACCGTGATCGGCGGTAATATTATTTATATATATATATTATATATATATATATATATAATTTATTTATACTTATGTCCATATTTATATTCATATTTGCATTTATATATTATATTTATATCTGTATTTATATTTATATTTGTATTTATATTTATATATATATCGTATATCAATTTGTATATTTATATATATATGTATTCTACGCTTTCTCGCTCTTTCTCTCTCTCTCTTACGCATTTCTCTCACGCATTTTTATCTCCTATGGTGTGTATGTGTTTCTTTTTTTTTTTTTGTTAACTACGGCGTTATGCTGTCTTATCTCTTTTTCTTATATAACAAAAACACCTTGCGCCCGTCCGTCGTCGCGTGGTAATTAATAATCATTGTCGTCGGTAATAGTTTAGTCGCGGTATTAATGAACCTTCCTCTCTCGCGGCTAAAACTGTATTTACACTTTTATCGTACACGTCGGTTCTGTATCCACCACGTGTGCGCCTACGCGTGTGCATTAATATGCATACTACCGCGTGTCTCAAAATTCGATCAAATGACGTTTCGACCTTCATCGGTTGAGCCATAGTTCCGCATTTCTGCATCGAATCAACAATCATGGATTAACAGATTTCGTAGAAATCAGAAATTACAACAAAATTAATATGTACAGATAAATTAAATTTGGCAGAAACTGTTATAGAAAGAGTTAGGTGAAGAGTTAATCTCAGTATTAAACTATTGCTATTTACTTCATTATTTAAAAATGATAAAACTGCGTGACATCAAAGTAATCTTATATACTTGCTTTTTGTATTAATAAATTGATTATGAATTCATTAAATCGAAAGACTTTGTAGAAATTAGAAATTGTAGCAAAATCAATATTACAGAAAGCGTAATAAAGTAAATTAATATCGGTGCTAAAATATTGATAAAGTCACTTTATCATACGAACATTATGAGATGTCAAAATAATGCTATATTATTGATATTTTATTAATTAATTAGAGTCCAATCGCTATGATTACAAGTTTATCAAATTCGGAACCATGGTGAAGGTACATGAAAGACGTGTTTTATTTGTTTACTCTTTCGATCGCGAAATTAATTTCGTCGGAATTTCTACGCCCGATCGAGCACTTCATCGTAGTTTATTACGTCCGAAAACAAGACAATCGAACGA